GAAGCCGTGTCCATCTATGGCAGCAGATAGGAGGTCCAGCAGCCCTGCAGTGCCCAGATAGCTTTCTTCCTCCGGCAAAGACTCGCCGATCATCCCTGGGGTGCTTTTCAATCAGCACCTCCCTGCTGATAAACTTCTGTGAACATCCATCCGACCGTACGGACCGCAGATCTTTTTTATTCCTCCACACTGAGCGCTTCAGTCTGGTGTGATATGTGTGTTTAGACATACGTGCCCCGTGATAAAATTCGGGAGGTTCATTATACAAATGTCAAGGAGCGCAGGAATTGTAAATAGGCGGAATTATGATATAATGAAGCAGGCAGAGGGAGGTGTCCGTCTGGCATCACACTTCGAGGGTTGCGGGTTTGATTCCTGCCCTGATTCTGCCTGTGGAGTCGTTCCCATCTTCGTGCCGGTTTTCACTGGATACTCCAGTTTCCTCCCACCACACAAATCAGGCGAATTGGCATTCCGAAATCGTATTTGCGAGCAAGAGGGATGGACTGGCTTCCGGTCCGGGCTGTGCTCCGCGCTTCCCGGGGTAGCCTCCAGGCTCGATGTGACTCACTATGGCAAAGGGAAGCATGTACACCTATGGGCGTGTCTGAAATTGCATACTTGTTTGCTAGGTAGTAGGCAAAATGTAGTATGCAAAGGGAACAGTACGTCCGAATCCTCAGTATGGATAACACAGTAGGTGAACGTTACTCAGATGACATGCAACTTTCAGCGAACTTCCGAAATGTGCAACCAGTGGATGATATGCTGTCCCACAAAGCCACTAGAGCTGCAACCAGACATGAAGAATGTCGCTCGCTCAGGAATTTGTGTCAAGATGTTGGAGGAATTGTCGTCTCCATGCAAATTTAAGTAACCATTTTTTTTATTGGAAGTTGGGTCAAGCTACATCATCATTCGGGTCAGGTAAAATGCAAGATGGCGACCGCAGTATGTCCCAGTGCATGCATACTGTTCTCATGCATGCGCACATACAGTATGTACTACAGTAACAGCTGAGTAGTAGGCTTCCAAGAAAAATTCAATGCATTCTGTGTTAGTATGCAATTTCAGATGCACCCTATTTGTACTGTTTTTGCCGATTCCCTGTGTGTCAGCCCTCCTGCTGTGAGAGGTGCTGTAAGAACCTCTTCAGGCATCGTTATACCCGTCTCTGTTACATCCTGGCTACTCTTGTTCCTGTTGGTTTGAGTTCTGCCTCCATTATTTGCGAGGTTAAAGCGCGTGTTGAATTTTAGCAGTGCCCACTTGGCTGAACAGTGAAGCCGGCCTCCCTCTGCCTTGTCCCTCCACCACC